TTTGAAGTCTGGTGATGCTGCCATTGTAGGTATGGTTCCTGGCAAGCCCATGCGTGTTGAGAGGTCCTCCGACTATCCTCCTCTAGGCCGTTTTGCTGTTTGTGACATGAGATGGACACTTGCTGCAGGTGTCATCAAGACAGTGGACAAGAAGGCAGCTGGAGCTGGCAAAGTCACCAGGTCTACCCAGAAAGCTCATAAGATTAAATGAATATTACCTCCAACACCTGCCACCCCAGTCTGAATTAGCGCTGGAAGAACGGTCTCAGACCTGTTTGTCTCAATTGTCCATTTAAGTTCAATAGTAAAAGATTGTTTAATGATTACAATGCATCATAAAAAACTTCAGAAGGAGAGGAGACTGTTTTGTAGACCCATGTGGTTTTTGTGTGTGTGGAAGTTTTTGTTAGTTTTAAAATCAGTACTTTTTAATGGAAACAACCTGATCAAAAGTCAGTCACAGAACTTTGAAACCCATTAAAACAAAGTTTAATGAGGAAAACAAAGTGGTATCTTTTAGTTTTGATTTGCATTTTTCTTTTTTTTATTTTTCTTTTCACTTTTTTAAAATTTATAAATTATGTTTATTCTATTACGGTTGTCTCAATTTTTTCCCCTTTACCCCCCTCCACCCACTCCCAGCCCCACCACCCACTCCCACAGTAATTCCCATTCTCTTGTCCATGTCCATGGGTCATTCATACGTGTTCTTTGTCTAGCCCCTTCCCCTTCTTTCCACCATTGTCCTCTTTCCCCATCCCCTCTGGTCATTTTCAGTCTGCTTCCTGTTTCCATGCCTGTGGTTTATTTTGTTCGTTAGTTTATTTTGTTGAATAGAGTCCACTTACAGGTGAGATCATATGGTAATTGTCTTTCATCTGCTGGCTTATTTCACTTAGCTTAATATCCTCCAGTTCCATCCATGTTGTTGCAAAAGGTAGGAGTTCCATCTCTCGCTCTCTCTTTCTTTCTTTCTAAATGCAGATTGATTTTATATATTTTCTTAAATGTCAAAGTTAATTATAAAATATTAAAACATTTAAAACCATTATAAAGTCTCAGCAATTAAACCAACATGATACCAGCACAGAAATAATCAAGTATATCAATGAAATATATGAGCATTCTAGAGACAAACATATATATCTAACAATATAATATATGATTAAGTTGATATTTCAGATCAATGGGGAAAATAAGGCTTATTCAACAAATAAGGTGCATGGACCACTATTACTTGAAATAAAACAAATATAGAGCCCTATTTCACACATTATACAAGAAATATTCAGGTGAATTAAAAATCAATATGTAGAATCTAAGGAGTTTTAGCAGAAAATAGAAGTAATACTTTTCATGACGTGAAGTAAAATATTCAAACCCAGAAGCTATAAAGTAAATATTGACAATATGACTACATTTAAGACTGTACAGTAATATACGTATTAAAAGTTAAAGGACAAGGTTTAAATAGGAAGATGTTTTCAACACATCTAAAACATGGTTAATAGGTTTTTAATTTTTTTTAGGGACAAAAGTTCTACAAACCTTTAATCAATAAATGGATAAAGAATACCAAAAAGTCATTTAAAGCTTTTTTAAAATAATTGAAATGGCAAGAAATATACAAAAACAGGTTTAGTTTCAACAAATAGTAAAGGAACAATTAACACATCATTGTCACAATCAGATTAATAAGTATTAAAAATATTGGTAAAATCAAGTATTGGCAACTCTGAAAGGAACTGGGTATTCATAGAAATGTTTTCTTATCTTAGAGCAGTTCCTTTAGCATTTTTTGCAGTGCTGGTTTGGTGGAGGTGTATTCTTTTAGCCTTCTTTTGTCTGGGAAACTCCTTATTTTGCCTTCCATTTTAATTGAGAGCCTTGCTGGGTAAAGCAGTCTTGGTTGCAGGCCTTTGCTTTTCATGACTTGGAATATATCTTGCCATTCCCTTCTGGCTTGCAGTGTTTCTGTTGAGAAGTCAGCTGCTAGCCATATTGGGGCTCCTTTATATGTTACTATCTCTTTCTCCCTTGCTGCCTTTAGGATTCTCTTGTCTTTGCTATTTGCCATTTTAATGATGATGTGTCTTGGAGCAAGGTTCATTGGGTTCCTCTTGAATGGGATCCTCTGTGTTTACTGGACTTGTGTGACTTTTTCTCTCCTCCAATTAGGGAAGTTTTCCATCATGACTTTCAAACAGGTTCTCTATCCCTTCCTCATCCTCTTCTCCTTCTGGTATCTCTATTATATGGATATTATTATGTTTTAGGTTGTCCTTCATTTCCCTAAATGCCTCTTCATTCTTTTTGAGTCTTGTTTCATTTTCTTGCTCTTTCTGGGAACTTTTTTCTACCTTCTCCTCCAGCTCGCTGATTCGGTCCTCAGCGTCAACTAGCCTGCTTTTGATTCCTTCTGCTGTGTTCTTCAATTCAGAAAGTGTATTCTTCATTTCCTCCTGTCTCATATCGATAGTTTCTATGTCCTTTTTCATGGTGATATAGTTTGCAGTAAGTTCCTCTAAGTTTCCCTGCAGTTTTTGGTTAATTCTCTCTGAGCTCACTGAGCTCATTGAGCTTCCTTAGAACCATTGTTTGGAACTCAATATCTGTTAGTTTATTTGCCTCTATTTCATGTAGTTGTCTTTGTGGGGATTCCTCCTTTCCCTTCGGTTGGGGGTATTTCTTTGTCTTCTCATTATTTGTGAGACTCTTCTTTTTTGCTTCTCCTTCTTCAATTGATCTGTCTTGATTTCCTGACTTTGTGCTTTGAACTTGTATGGTAGGAGACCACTGTTTTTACTTTCTGAATCTCCTTCTGATGATGTCAGATGTCATCCCTGTCTGATCTTAGGCAGTCTGTTCGAGACTTACAGGAATGTACTGTCTGTGACTGTCTCCTTCAGCTGTTAATGTAGTCACTCTGCACTCAGCAGGCCACCTTAGACAGCTCAGGGTGGGGTGGGGTCCCTCCTGGGGGCAGGGTTATTGGGTCCTCTTGTGCTGCTGCCATATGGAGGAGGAGTCCACACTGGGATTTCACTGGCTGCTCTCTTCGTCCTCTCTTGATTTACATTTTTCTGGTGACTGTTCACTGTGCTTTCAGAAGTTTCTTGCCGATCTGATCATTTCTGGCTTTCCCGGTGCATTTTGTTTACTTTATCTTTTGTTGTGTTTTACACTCCTTATTTACATGTCTTGATTTTTTTCCCCCTGTGAATGTATATTCCCTTAGTCTTACCAGTCACCTTTGCTGGCAGTATACACCTGGAGGGAGGAGAAAAGACTGGTTTCTGGCTTGTCACCCTCTTGGCAACTTCTGTAAAGTGGCTGGCTCTGGGCTCAATCATTTATCATCCTCACTTTTTTCCGCAATCAGGCAACCTCACCTCAAAGAAACTCCCAGGACATCTGGCCCCCGTGCTCCTTTACAGTTCACCTCTGCTGTCACTGCCTGGGGTTAGAGAATGCACAGGGGCTGTTCCGAGGTTGTCTGCTTTCCACCTCAGAAAGGTGTTAGCACTGTTCTGATATCACTCCTCTAGTTGGTGCTTCCTGGCAAAGTTGTTTGCCAGGAATCTATCCAGAGCAGAGGAAGTGGTCCAATCAGGAAACATCCCCATTCCCATTGTGGTGCAGGGCCTGTCTGTGCTCTAGACTGACCATTACTACCTCACCTTTGATGTCCCTTGAGGTTTCCCACAGCCTTTGTGTTCTGTCTTCCCTCTCACTTTTTGACCTCTCCCAGACTGGGTTTGGGGAAGGGACCCAGTAGCCCATCTAACTCCGTGTTTCGTTTAGAACCAGAAGTGTGAAGAGCTCTTTTACCATTTTCCAAAGTTATTTGACTTTGGGACCATTTTCCCTACCATTTTGTCATTCAACTAACGTTAAATTGAATATTTCATATGTACCAAGCACTGTTCTTTTGGGCGATACTGCAGTGAATTTAGACAGACAAGGTTTCCCACCCTTATGGACTCTGCCTTTTGATATGAGGAGCCACAAGTACTCAAAAGTATAGGAGGGAGTGTTGGGGCCATATTTTGAAACTATATACCACAGCTTTTAATTTCACTTTGAAACCTATTTTAAAGTCCTGGGAGAATTTCAGAGTTTACTTTTGAAAGTTTTGGTGTCTAGTTTGGGAAGGTAATGAGAGCAAATTATAAAAGAAGGAATATTTGCTCTTCTTCCAGTAAAGTTATTTGCTAGGCTAAGAGCAAACTGATTCTACAGAAACAACTCAAGTTTCTAAACTTTATCCAACCCTTGGTAAACCATTTTGTAAGTGTGTCTTTTAATAGTTAATTTGAACTCTTTGCTTTAAACCCTTATTGCACATGTTCTATTACTACATGACTGAAGGCCCTGGAGTGGCACTCACTGAGAACAGACATCTTCAGTCAGGTGCCCAGGGTGAAACCTACCAAGTCAGTTGGGATGCCTGCCTACGGAGCAAAGACCATATCCTCATTGACTCTGGCGGGGCTTCTCCACTATTGTGATTTGTTTTGGGGATGATAACTACTTTTATGTCACTGGAATATGTCATTGGAATAGAGACATTTTAATAAATCAGTATATAGGTACTGCAATAATTGGCCCTCATGGCTGTTTGGATAACTGTATACATTACCTTCACGAAACTAGTGCTGGTTAATATTTGTTGAATGGACTGAAGGTGTAATTCAGATAAAATGAAACCAATAGAAGCTGTAAATCCTATGCTCAATACTGCATTTCACTCACTTATACGACTTTAAACACTTTAAACTGTAAAATTTTTTAAATTATTTTGATTTAGGATGAGTTTTTATATTTAATTTTATACAAAGAGGACTATGAATTTTTTTGTTGAAACAAACTTTTAAAATATGTGATGTAAAAATACCTTTTTGATACATAAAAATGTTGTAAGGACTGATTATTTGTGGAAATTAAACCAGTCTTTTGAATAATTTTGTTTATATATAACCACTGTGTCTTTCTCATAGACTGCCTTGCCATCCAGGAAAGGATTTCGGCACCAAACCACCAAGTTTTTGTATCGTTTGGTGGGTTCGGAAGATTTGGCTGTGGACCAGAGCATTGTGAGCCCTTACACTTCTCGGATCTTGAAACCATACATCAGGTATATGGAGAAGAGCCATGATGTTGATTATGTCACGAGAAGTAATATTTGTGGTTTCTACCCCCCGCCCCCCAATTCCTCTCTCTCAGTGTGAATACGAAAACCTGTCAGCAGGAGTCAGCAAAGACAGTCTGTGCTTTGTGTCTAGCCTCAGCCTTGACTTGTTTCAGTTGTACTTTTTTGCAGAAAGGATGATCCATTGATAGAGACAGAAGAAGCAAGGATAAGTTAACTCTGTTGGATTTCATTATAACAGTCATACTCCTTGTTTTATTTTAAATTTAAAATTGTATATATTTAGTAGTCTGTAAAATAAAAAAAATGGGAGAGATGTCCCAATTGGACCTATAGTTGGACTGGATGTTGGGACAGTTTCTAATGATGAATCTAGACTGTGCTGAGAAGCAGGGCTGACATGAGAAATCCCCAGTGCTATCTTGGCTGTGATTGACAGAGCTGATGGGGGCTGAAAGGATCTTTCCGGGAGCATTTACTGCTTCCTGCCCTTTACACTAAGTGACCAGTCTTTGTTGACCATACATGCTCTGCAGCTCTGTAGTCACCTGATCACCCTTGCATAGCACTGCCTCCCAGGCAGACTCATGGAAAGGCAGTATGTGAGCCTACTCTGGTTACCCTGGTTACTGGTTGTCCCCAGCTTCCCTGGCAGTGTTGAATCTTCTGTGCCCTGGACTTTGTTTTGGTGAGAGCATTCATAGGGCTAAATTAGGATGCTGTTTCTGTTTCCTCATTCTGTTCATAAGGCTCACCAGCACCAGTAGAGTTCATGGTGGGTGCAGAGGAGTTTGGTCTAATGTAATGTTTAAAGAATGAATTTTAAATTCATATCCAAAAGTACTATTGCTGTTGTCAAGCTAGTTATCATATAAAGTAGTACAAATTAGTTCAAAATTTCAAGCAGATCAGAGAGTTTACATGAATCAAATGGTTAGGAGTAACACTGGGTATGTTTTTGACTTGAATTTGTTTATCTTCTGTGGTACTGGAGGCGTGATTATGAAACAAAGCCACCCAAACTGCAACTCCTGTCACAGATTCGTTCCCATCTGCACAGAAGTGACCCTCACTGGACTCCAGAACCCGATGCACCTCTCGATTACTGCTATGTCCGGCCAAATCACATCCCAACGATAAACTCTATGTGTCAGGAGTTTTTCTGGCCTGGTATGTTCTCCCCTTTTCAAACTGGGCAGGACAGTTTTCTGTATACTTAAGTTTAGTAATTTTTGAAATTACTCTATGCCATGTGACCCTAATACCTTTACTCATGATTTTATGCAGTTTGTCTCTACTAATACAGAAATATTAAAATATAAATACCTCTTTTCTTTCCTAAGATCAAGAATAAGCCTGCATTTAAAGTAATAAACAGTGTTTTTGTTTGTTTCTCTTCCCTGTTTTCCTCTGCTTCCAGAATAAAAGATTCATCCTGTTTGCTTCTACATATGTTTAGATACCAGGTAATGTCTATCAGCCATACACAGACTGGTATCCAGGGCATTTGGACACTTGATTTTGCTTAATAATTCTGTGTGTTGTTTATTTAGCTGTTCCTTAGAGAGTGATAGTATAGTCAAAAAATGTTTTTAAAAAGCCAAATACCCCAATCATAGACTTTAACCCAATATGATTTGTCATTTTATCAGCCTTAATATACTATATCTGAACACCCAAGCCATCAATTAAAAGAGCACATTTTCATTGTTAAATATAATTTAACACACTTTTTGTGGATCTGCTTTACCACTGTGCTTTGAAATATAAACAAAATATTATGTCTTCTAGAGGTTGGATAAGACTTCATCAGGATGAGACCTTTGTCATCTTTTTTGTCTGGTAATCATGTCATAGTGCATGTGGTGGCAGAGCTGTGGGAGCGGTATGGGGGCTGAAAGGATCTTTCCGGGAGCATTTACTGCTTCCTGCCCTTTACACTAAGTGACTTCCTTACTTACACTGTGCAAGGACTCATTTTTTATTTCACCTTTTTATTGTAAAATGTAGCATTTGTACAGAAGAGCTTATAAATTAAGTATGTCTGAGGTAAAGAATACAATGATGTGGATACTCTCAGGGGATTTATACTCCAGCTCTGTGAGGTCTAGGTACAGTCTCATCTTAAACATTGTAAAACTGAGGCCAAGACATTTAGAGATGTTCCAGCTGATACACGTGGCCAGGCAGGCTGAATTGAAAACCAGGTGTGTCCAGTTCTGAACATGTTCGCTCTACTAACCACTCTATCCTGTCTCTCCTCTTTTAACATATGTACTTAGGAAAATGATGTTAATTTTGGTATATTCTGAAATTCACTTTTAGTTTTACGATCTGAATGTGTGGTGTGTATGGTAATATCTTCGTCTCGTTTTGTTTTGTTTTTTAGCATGCAGGTGCAGCTGTAAGTACAGACTGAACAGCTTCGTGTTCATTAATTCTAAAAGGCACATGGTTTTGAATCTCCAATTGTTTCTTTTCTTTAGGCATTGACCTATCCGAGTGCTTGCAGTACCCAGACTTCAGTGTTGTTGTTCTGTATAAAAAAGTCATCATTGCTTTTGGCTTCATGGTTCCCGATGTGAAGTACAATGAAGCTTACATTTCATTTCTGTTTGTCCATCCTGAATGGAGAAGAGCAGGGATTGCAACTTTCATGATTTATCATCTCATTCAGGTGTGTTGTTTGTGCTCATTTTCTATACACTTGCTTCTGGGCTCTTTGGGAGAAGTGGAGGGGGGTGGATCAGAGCAGGGCCCTCCCAGCATGGCCCAGCGGAATATGAGACTGAGCGTCAATGCCAGTCACCATCATTCTCCACAAGATGGGTTGCCCTTGGGTTTTTAGAAGCTGCCAGTGTGTTCTGGTGTGTTACATGATACCAATTTTTTTTATTATATTGTTTTTTTCTTTTTTTATAGTATATATTTAAAAGGCAGTATCTTTTGTATGTGAATTTGTAATAGAAGATGCATATTGCACTTTTTTTTTACTTCTGTTGGTGTGTACTGTTTATATAGTTTGTGCTTCTTGTGATGAACATAACTTTTCTTTACAAAAGACAAAACAAAACACACAGACAAAATCCGCCCCTCTGAAATATGATTGCTATTTAGATCTAGGTTTTAAAGAAGCCAGTTTGTGAATATGTATAGTAAATAAATGAGAAAATATCAAAAGTAAAAGCCGGAAGCACTTACACTGTCCACATTGGTAACGCTGCTTCTCTTAGAATCAATCAGTGCCACCATGACTCAGACAAGGAAGTGGAACTAAGATTTTTAGTTTTTAAGTATTTTAAAACATCTTACCTAAGCTGTATCTATCAACAGTACATATTTTGTGATTCTTGATTGCTTTTCGTCTTACTATCACCATATAAGCTGGTATGAACCTTTTAAGACTTGATTCTAATAACAAATTATAATCCATCCTTTGATAATATCTATATAACCTTTGAAGAAAATATACCATGTATTTATATACTAACATCAGAAAAACATGCAAGGATTTTATTTCACCCAGAATTTTTCAGGTAACTTATTTAGAAACAATCTGGTATAGTTGATTTTGTGTTACTGGTCTAGATTCTTTTTGGTTTGAGATTTTTTTTTTAATTATTGAGGTATAATTGACATACAACATTATATTAGCTTCAAGGGTACAACATGATTCCTTTTTTGTATATACCGCAGAATGATCACTACATTAAGTCTAGTTAACATCCATAACCAAACATAGTTTTAAAATTTTGTTTTTCTTATTACAAGACCTTTTAAAATTTATTCTCTTGGCAACTATAAGAGATTTACAAATACTTGATTTGTATCAAGTATTTAATACAGTATTATTAGCTGTAGTGCCATACTATACATTCCATTCCATTCCATGACTTACTTATTTTATAACTGGAAGTTGGTATTTTTTGATTCCCTTTACCTGTTTTGTCCACCTTCTCACCCCACTTGTGGCAACCACCAGTTTTTGTATCTATAAGCTTGGTTTTTAGAATTTCTTTTAAATGGAGGATGGAGTTGATAAAATGTTGTTTTCCCTATTTTTAATGAAACTTGCTCAGTAATTCCAAGTGTTGGCCAGAACCTTGAGAACTGTCTTCTAGAAATTGCTTTCTTCTCACCTCTCTCAACAGTTAACATGTGCTACCTTGTGTTGTCTTGAAATGAGATCTTCTCAGTTATTTCCACCATGCCCCCTTTTTCTCTGCCTACTCCACTCACAGAATTGACCTCTACTCTGTGTTCATTCTTCTAACCTAGCAGAATGCCTACAGGATTTCTGCCTTTCCCTTCACTGGCAAGGGCTTGAGGGCAGGGCACAGATGACAGTGTGATGTGTGTGCTTGACACAAGGTCTGGTCCAGTCAATTCTTACAGAGCATTTCCTGGGTGGGAGGAAGAGTTTTCATTTTTGTATGTGAGTGCCTGGCCCCTAGCCAGACCACACAGCCAGGCCCAGACACAGTCCTGCTCAGTAGTACTCAGTGATGGTCATGGTCAAACTGCATATTTGCAGTAGAAGGAATACTAGCCTTACCACAGGACACACTCTTGTCCTTGGTATAATAGTAGTTCTTTCTTGTCTGACAATGACTTTGGATGTAGAGTGTGAATTCAACAGAAAATAGAAGGCAGCTGTCTACTTTTGACAGAGCTCTTAAGTAGAGGCCTTGGGAGAACCAGGAAGTAAGTATGAACTCTCAGGGACCCATCACCATCAGTATTTCAGTGCCTTCTTCATTAAAAACAAGTTGTTTATTTATACTACTTTTGGGGTACTGTAGTCTGTGTAGCTAATTAAAGAATCTAAGCACTTGCTTTGTATTGGTAGAATGATTATTACTCTTTCCCTAGGATTGAGCCTAAATACAAGATGAGTGGAAAAATACAAGATGAATAGGAGAAAGCCTGAGGGAAAAACGAGTAGGTGAAGAAACTCTTTTAAGTAGGTAGGTAGTTTTGGAAGCTGGAGAAGTCAGAGACTCAGACTTTACAACACCTAGCAACAGCTGGAAACTGAATGACATTTTGCCACTGATCAAAACATTCACTGAAGGATTCATCAACATTAAGGAAACTAATAGTATATGGAGTGTTGTATCCTAAATACAAAAATCTCAGTTCTGAGAAGTGAATTCTGTCAGTTTTGGGGAGGGATGGGAGATAGACTTTGCGATTCTGAAGGTCTATATAGATTCTTCAAGTTTTAGAATTGAATGAAAGTCTTAATATTTCACATATGTCACATTATTTAACATCTAGTCTTTAAAAGCATGGCTTACTTGTTCACTATTTCTTCAAGATTGATATAGTGTTTGGTATAGGTATGTTTGATATATTTCAGTGTAATTGAATTATAAATAATATGGTTAACAATAAAATATCTCCCTTGGCCCTTTGCTTCAGCGGAAAAAAAAAACACTCCATATACTATTAGTTTCCTTAATGTTGATGAATGCTTCAGTGAATGTCTTGATCACTGAAAATGTCATTCAGTTTCCAGCTGTTGCTAGGTGTTGTAAAGTCTGAGTCCCTGACTTCTCCAGTTTCCAAAACTACCTACCTACTTAAAAGAGTTTCTTCACCTACTCGTTTTTCCCTCAGGCTTTCTCCTATTCATCTTGTATTTTTCCACTCTTTTGGCAGACCTGCATGGGCAAGGATGTAACCCTTCACGTCTCAGCAAGCAACCCTGCTATGCTACTGTACCAGAAGTTTGGATTCAAGACCGAGGAATATGTTTTAGATTTTTATGATAAGTATTACCCCTTGGAGAGCACGGAGTGTAAACATGCTTTCTTCCTGAGGCTCCGACGCTGATGTGACTTGATACAGCTCTTCACGGAGAAACACATATACTGTTAGAGACAGGTCTTCACATAGACCTTACTCATTTCACTGTGAGTTCTAATCTCTACGATTAGACATTCATTCAGTCTCCAGCCGAGCTGAGAAAAGAGGTGGGCGATGGAATGAATAGTGAGCAGCCCAACAGCAAAATCGCTTTCCAGTTCTTCCTGGTGAGGCCATTGACCCACATCTTGGGACTCCACAGTTAACTAACACTGAAAGATGTTGCTCTCCTTCCACCGGACAGTTTTTAAGAATAAGAGTATCTAAACTGATATTCTTGGTGAGAGCGAATCTGTCCATCCTAATTTAAAGGATGAGCAAATGTGATTGCTGTTAAAGATTCATACAGTGTCTGAGAGGCACTATCCTGTCCTGGGATGATGAGGGATTATGAGATGGTTATCTAAAGGAATGCCAACCCTTTTCCCATCCTTGATGTGTTGTCATTGAACCTAGCAGGACTTCTAAGTCACTGAGGTACTGTTGTCTCTGTCTGACTTTGGTCACAGTCAGAATAAACTAAATGTTGTGTCTTCACATTGCTTCACCTGTTCTGTTAGCATCTCCCACCAAGGGCTTGGTCTGGGAATAGAGGGTCTCGGTTTCCCCATGCCTGTGAAGTTGGCTTGGTGTTGAGTGGCTGAGTGGCCTGCATTTAGATTGATTGCACCACTGGGTGGAAGTGTGTAGTGGTGGAAGGAGAATTGGTGTAAGGAGAAAAGACTTACATTGTCTTTAGGATCAGGCTGTTTGGTGTGTGGGGGGTGTCGGAGACAGACTCTCAATCAGCTTTTGCGGGATCCAGCAGGAGCATTTCCGAAAGTATTAGCTATTCTCAAATAAAAATCTTTGCTTGTAACAGCCAGATCTTCAGTCTAATCATTTTGCTTTCAAACTTTAATTAAGAGCAATGGCTCTTAGCTTTTTGGGAATGGATCCCTTTGAGAATCCAAAGAAAGCTGAATACTCTCTAGAAAACTGTCAGACACATTTTAGTTTTGCATCAGAGATCTGTGGACCCCAAGTTAAAAGCCTCTGTTCTACAGGCTATAGTTAGAGCCAGCTGGAATCTTTTTTGTTCAAGGGAAAAGCATTGCGCCCTCATGTGACCACAGTGTGAAAGTTGTCACTCGTCTCTTGCCAAGGTTCCGGGCTCCCCAGCACTTGGCCCAGGACTGGACAGAGTCACTCATTTGCCAGGTTCACTAAAGCAATGATAGCCTGCCTCCAGAGAGTGAATCCTCTGGACTCTGTCACCTTCCTTCCCTTCCAGAGAGCTAAACCAGCACTTCCCAGCCTGACCCTGCAAGGACCCAGCAGAGAGGGTGGGATCAGCTGTAACCTGACACTCACTCATTAACTCTTTAGGTGTAACTGTTTTAATGTTAAAATAATGGATTTTTTTTTTTTTTACCCCGAAGCTTTAGGTAGTGTCGACACTCCAGGAAGATGCGCAGTTTGAGCCTCTGCACAGAGATGCTCCTAGGTTACATGGACATGCACCACAGAGCTGCATGCTCCTTTTCCTCAGCAATGATACTCCAGGGCTCAAGACAGACCTGTCTTCACTTAATCTTTTTAGATTTTTTATTTACATTTTATTCCATAATCAAGATAAATCATAATTTAAAAGCCACGACATTTTCAAAAGGTAAAGGAGACTTTGTGTTACAGCTGCATCAGTAAAACAGACATAGGTCTAAAATGCAACACTAAACAGATGTGCTTGTCCCATGGTGGAATAACTATATAACAGTTACACATACAAATTCACTAAAGATTGAGACCAGGCAAATAACCTTTTGAAACAAACTTCCCAATGAATAGAGACATGTTGCAAATAATTTCTATTAATATTTTACTGCAAGATGGAAAAATCTCCAAAGTACAGTATTTTGCCTCATGTTTCTATGTACATTATACATGGGATTATTATTCCCATGGTATGTAATCATTATACCCATGTATAATATACATCTTTATTTGTCCCTCAAAAATTTGGGCAAAAAATTGCACATTATAAACAGCAAAATTCGGTAACTACTAACTCAAACTGCCCCCCCCTTTATTTAATGCACCTGGTCTTGGCATTTGTCTTCCTCAGGCACATACAAATCTATGCTCAGAAATGCCACCCTAATTCCCCAAGGACCTCAGCAGAAACTGTTAATGAGCCTGTATGCAGTCCTCATGTAGAACCTCCAGGGAAATCAAGAGCCCAATAAAAGCAGCAGCATTTCTTTAAACAATTGTTTTAACTGTAGAATGAGCTTTGATAGGCCATGTGCATTTCATAAACTGAAATATTGTCTTAATATCTTTCTGTTTTTTTCTCGGAAATGTTAAATAGGTTATTTAAGTAAAAAAAAATTTGCAGAAACAATGAAAAACAAAAATTCAAAGAGTTTATGCCAAAAAGCAAACCAGTCCTTTGCAGCGTAATGAATTGTTTCTGGGCTATGAAGCCATGTAAAGGGCAACCAGGCAGTAGATGGTCCCTCCCATGGTGGCTCAGGCAGCCCTCATTTCAGGTGGATAGACACACCATTGATGTCTGGAAAAAGTTTTGCAGCTCAGGAACTTTGTTTTTCCCAGCATAATATACACTATAATTGGAAATCAGTTTAGTTGGTGTGGCAAATATGATAGGCGGTGCTTATGTGGAAACCATAGGCTTTAATCCCTGTGAGCTATCAGTGTGAAAAGCCCACACTCTGGCCAGTTTCTGTGTGATGCCCTCTGTCTATTCACAGCCACTCCCTGTCTTCACTTTAAGTGACACCTTATAATTCAGGTCATTTTGAGAGAAAACTTCAAGGTGAAATGAGTAACAGTTGAAAAGGAAACATACTACTATTATGTTTACATTTGGTCAAAATGTCTAGTACTGTAGTTAAACTGAGTGTGGCTAAAGGCTAAATTATGTTAAAAAAAAAAAGGCATTAAACTTCAAGTGGGATGAAAAGCAAAGGCCTGATCTCAGAGGTTCTTGGAAGAGTAAGAATTATTAGGAACTTAGGTCTCTGGGGTTTAAGCTTTGGGTGGTGGCCTCGTGTCTCCATATAGCAGCAGAACACTTGGCATTTCCAGAGACAGAGTTAGAGTGGAAACGAAAGTTTATAAGACATTGAGCAGACACAATCTAGGTGCTAAAAATATGAAAATAATGGCATTTCCTACTGAGCTCTTAACTTCTCCCAAAGACTCCACGAGGTGGTGCTGTAATGTTCTCTATTTTATGGAGGAGAAGACTGAGGCTTGAGAGGTTGAATAACATAGGACAAAGAGTGGGGACTGCTCCCATCTGTGCTGGCCCTGTCCAGTCTGTGTGTTGTGTGAAATGGAGGAGGAGTTCTCCCAGGCCAAAGGGTCCTTGGACCCAGAATGGGGACCTGTGATTCTGAGCTGAGCCAGTCACCTCCCACCTTCAGTGTGTATGGATATTTCTTTGTTGGTCTCCCAGGTAAGGGTTCATACCTTGAGGTGGTTGTGTGCAAAGGCAAGTATGAGTATGATTGTTTTTCAGGGGAGGGGCCTAAAGCTTCAACAGATGTTGAAATGGGTGTGTGAGCCAAAAAGTAACAAACTCAGGATTGGAGGAGGGAAATTTCTAGAGCAGGCTGGATGGTGTGGCAAAGTTGCAAAAGGAATGACTCAGCAACTACCTTTAATATGTTTTGTTTTTCGTTAACATAATTTCAGGTTCGATGGAAAATTTGCAAAAGAGGACAAAGAATTCCCCAATACCCTTTATCCCTGTTCCCTAAATAGTATTTTACACATTTGCTTTTTTCTTGCTCTCTTTACACACCTCATACACACGTGCACACGCTGTGCTGAACCATTTAAAAGTAAGTTGCAGATACCATGTCCCTTTACCCTTAATATTATGGTGTGCATTTCTTAAAGTAAGAAATGTTCTTAACCTCGCCACAGTACAATGGTCAAAATCAGGTAAGGTGACATTGACACCATGGTGTTACCTGATCTACAGACCTAATTCAGATTTCATTAGTTTTTCTAACACTGCCCTTTATAGCATAAGAAAATCAAGATAAGTGTTGTGTTCAGTTGTCAGACTTCTTTAGTCTTACAATCAGAAACTGCCCTGGTCTTTGTTAATGTGGACATTTTTTACAAGTACTGGCTAGTTGATTTGCAGAGTGTCCCTGAACTTGGGGGTGCCTGTTGTTTCCTTCTTTTCAGCATTCTGTTAGGTACTTTGGCAGAAATACCACAACATGATGCTGATTTCTCATCCCATGATTTAGGAAGCACATACTGTCACTAGTCCCATTTCTAGCAAATTTAACTTTTGATTTTTTAGTTTCTGCAAATAAGTATTTTGTGGGGAGATTCACTGAGTTGATGTAATATCCTGTTACTCCTCAGACTTTCCAACACTGGTTGTAGCATCCAGTCTTCTTTTGGTCTGCTAGTGTGAAGAAGAAAGCTGTCCAGGCTTCCTTTAGGAAGCACCTTTTAGAGCTGGGTTAGCAATGCTTGCCCTTTTTTTGCATGGCCATACACTGAGCACTGAGCTCAAGTGAGAGCCAGGTACTTGAAGTAGTAGGCCTTTCACATCTGTTACCCTTCAGTAAAATGCTGGCAAGTATTCCTGCATTCCCACTGCCACTACAGGACAGAGCAGCAGTGTCATAGGGAGGTGGAGGTACTTAAGTCTGGCGCCAGTTAGTGCCTTGTAGCTTGTGCATCTCAGCATTTACCAGATCTGATGGCAAAAAGAATAATGGATTTCTTAGCTACCTAATACTATGTAATAAACCACCACATAATCTAGTGCTTTAATACCATAGTAGTATATTTTCTCTTGGGTTGTGTGAGTTTTCTGGGTGGTTCTTTCCACATGGTTCCTCTTGGGTCACTGGGGAAGCAGCCAATATCTGGGATCGCAGATGGTGGTGCTGGCCAAGGGTCTTGGTCCTTTCCCAGGTGGGCCTCTCCGTGTGGTTGCTTAGACTGCCTCATGGCATGGAGGCTGGGTTCCGAAAAGAAGCATTCTTCCAACATTCTAGAAAAACAAACTTCAATTGCCAGTCCTTATCAAGCCTTTGCTTATAACATGCTTACTACTGACCCACTGGCTGGAAGCAGTAACATTCCCAAGCTTCTAGTCCATGAGGGAGTGCTTCAAAGGGGACAAATGCCAGGTATGTGGTTCATGATGGAGAGCCACCAAAGTATAAACCACAAAAGGCCATTATAGAAAAGTCATTCAAAGCTCTTAACACCCAGATGAGAGCAGCACAGCTTAGACTAGTTCCCTTTTGGGGACTCTGGGTAGGCCATAACTAGTGGATGCCTCAATCATGCTAGGAATTTTAGTAAGGTTGCTACTAGTGGTCATAGCACAGGAGCCTTGGGGTGGGCACAGTCTTTAGTTTTTTATTTTGTTTATGGGTCAGTCTCAAATGGGAATGAAACAGAAGAGTGAGATAGCTGCAGATAAGGTGAGGGAGCCTCCCCCTGAGGCCTGGCTGTGGCTCCTCTTCGGCATCTGAAAAGACCTCCCCTTATACCCATTCCTATTCTTACAGTAAATAGTCCCTCCCCCCTTTTAAAGTTTTATTGAAAAATGATTTACATACTATAAAATTCACTAATTTTAGGTGCACAATTCAGTGATTTTTAAAGTAGATTATTATAGAGTTTTATAATCACCCAATTCAGTGTTGGGACACAGGGCTGAAAAGATCCCTGGTGCTCATTTGCAGTCAGTCCCACTCATACCCCAGCCCTAGATAAACTAATCTGTTTTTTTCTCTATAGATTTGCCTTTTCAAGTCAACATGTCTAATGACCTTTGTTGGCTTTACCTCAAGTTGTGGTTTCTGTTA